TTGCATTGAGAATATTTTGAGATTTTAATTCAGATAATGGGTCTTAAAATCTGTTGCAAGGAGATAGGAATAAAAGAAAAGCAACATCATTAAAGGAAGTTTTACATTTAGGTGTTTCTTTCAGGCATGTGAGATTTGGGTCACCATCTGCTTTGGAATTAAAAACAAGAAACTTGTTATAGCCTTACCTGCTTGAGTATATGAACCTTTAAATATAACCCTACCCCTAGCCCTGGAACAACTGCTAGAACCTCTGAATAGATGGCCTAGGAGAGATGGAAAAAGATAATCAGGGAGATGAGTTAGAGGTTGAATAGGAGAGCAAAATTGTGAGTACTAGCTATTTGCCCTCATTCAATTCTGCAGTCCTCACCAGAGCTGTCGGTGAAGAGCAGTTTCTCCTTTAATTTGACTCTTTACTTTCCTATCAAATATTAAGCCTACTTATTTTAGTTCTATTCATTAAACACTCATTGAAGGCCTACTTGTGAAAGTCACTCTGCTAGGTAGCAGAGACACAATGATAAATTCCAGATACACTTAAATCCCCCTTTAAACAGGTGATTTCAGAGGCAGTTTAGAGAAATTGCAGTTGATGGAGCAGAGAGAGATTAAAAATTAGTACATGACATTTTTTCTTAAAGTATTGGTTTAGGAAAACAAGATGAAAAAACATCTGAAAAAAAGATGACATATAAATACGTTTGTATCCAAGTGGTGCAACTGAGTTATACAGTTTTCTAATCTCTGAGACCTTAATTTTTGTATTTGTTTTACAGAGTATTGAGTTTCCTTTCTCACATCTATTATATTAGGAAAGAAATGAGAGATGAATGGGCCAGATAGGAAGTAAAGAGGAGATAGCAAGTGTGTATATTAAAGGTTAATGGGAAAGAAGATAGGAGATTAAGTTGGAATTGAGAGGAAGTGTTAGTGGAGTACTGAGAAGGAAATTGAATGGGACTAACATATGTTCAGAAAAAAAAAAAGAAGAAGAAGAGAAAAGAGACACAGGAAGCAATCTCAACAGAAAAGAAATGTAAGTACATATTTAAAATTTTTTGGAAGGAGGCATCTTTGATGAATATTTGCTTGTAGCTGATTTTAAATGCTATTAGAATTTTAGATTCAAACTTTTCATTTCAGATACAATGTCACTGCTACCATGAAGGAGGTATACTTTTGAAGAGGGCTGAAAAAACAAGATGATGCTATTTTATTGTAGAATGCAGCAGGTCCATAACTGGTGAGATAGCATCTAAATATGTTATATGTAATAAAATATAAATGATTATTTATATAATATTTATATTAATTGTATTTAACATGTCACTTAACACAAAGCCTGTAAAGAAAACATTTCTATGTCTTTGCTCATCCCATGTGCTAACAATGTGCTATTCATCTCTAAAAGCAAAATTCAGTACTAAGCAATGATTTAATAATATAAAAGCTTATTTCTGGTTCCAGTTTATGCCATAGCAATAAAGAGTAGAAGCCCCTATACTGCTACAGTATAAAATCGAGAATGATATAAATTTTTAAAAAATGAAGCATAAAAAAAATCTTCCACCCTGGGAAATGTGTGTAAGTGGACTATCTCAGTTTCAACCAACAATACGTAAGAAGAAAATGTAGCTGACTTAATTGTATTACATCTTTCGAGGCATGAGGTAATGGTACTTTTGATGAATGACTATAAAAAATGACTGGCAAGTTGGTCTGTATCAGTGTATATGTAGGGCAACCAGGGAACAAGATGCCCTGAGTGAAAGGATCCAGTGTCTGGCATGCCTGGCAGTCATTGTTCTATAGCAGAGTCCATAGCCTCCTGTCATTGGGCTGTGCTATGTCATCCACTAACATACAGCTCCCTCACCCAGATTTCAAGTTCATTGTACAGAAATTTTAACTCAAATTTTAAATCCAGTTCTTAAAAGTTGTAATCTTGAGCAAGTTACTTAATCTCCTCTTGCCTAAGTCTACATATTTCAAAAATTAGGATAATAATAACGACTTCATAAAGTTGTTATAAATATTATGTCAATTAATACATGTAAAGTACTTAGAACAGTGTCTGGCATGTAATAAGTGCCCAGTAAGAGTCAACTAAAATATAAAGTCAATAAAACTATATATTTCCCATCTAGTTTCCTAGTTTTCTACCTACTACATAACAGGTGCTCTGTAATATTTTTTAAAGAATGAACACATTTGATACATTATGTAGCCTTTTAAAGATGAGATCATGAAAAATGGAAAATAATATTCTTTCTGGCCTGCTTAGCATGTCTATACATTATCAGAAATTAATAATATAGAATTCTGTCATATGCTTTGGTCCCTTATAAGATTAGTTACATTGCATCAGTAAATCAGTACCTGATGTCTCTTGCAAAACTGATAAAATGTAGTTTCTGAAGCTGTAAAAATTAAGGGTTTGCTGGATGGAGGCAGTTAGTATAATGACTGAGAGAACTTGGAATCTCAGATCCACCATTTACTACCTGTGTGATTTGGGCTGTTAGCTAATCTGTCATATGTTTTCTTATCTATAATATTGGCATAATAATCATACTTATCTTAGAGGGTTCTTTTTGAGAATAGAATAGGATAATTTATATAAAGTGATTTGCAGAGTGTGTAGTATACAGTAAATCCTTAAAAAAAAGTGCTCCCAAACATAATATTAATTCATTTATTAATGCAACCAACAAACTTTATTGAAGTACCTGTCATGCTAAATATGCAAAAACAAATAAGATATCCCTATCCCTAGGAAATCCCACTATAGTAATGTAGGGGAATAAGTAAAAAAGAAATTACCAAATTGTGAAATTGCTATTATAGAGCTAACAGGGAATATTAGGAGCACACAGAAATGGAACTTGATTCAAGAGAAAGTTCCCTATGAAAATATCAACAACATTTTTTTTCAAATCTAGAAAAAATAATTCTATGCTTCACATAGAACCAGAGAAGACCCTGTATAGCAAAAGCACCTTAAGCAAAAAGAACAAATTGGGAGGCATCAATTTACCCAACTTCAAGCTATACTACAAGCTTATAGTAATGAAAGCAGCATGGGACTAGCACAAGAACAGAGACATAGATCAATGAAACAGAACTGAGAACCTAGTTTTGAAACCATCCTCATATAGCCACCTAATCTTTGACCAAGCAGACAAAAAGACACTGGGGAAAAGAATCCTTATTCAATAAATGGTGGGAAAACTGGATAGCCACATGTAGAAGACTGAAACAGGATCTGCACCTCTACCTCTCACAAAAATCAACTCACGGTGAATAATAGATTTAAACCTAAGGCATGAGACTAAGAATTCTAGAAGAAAATGTTGGAAAAACTCTAACAGACATTGGCTTAGGGAAAGAACTTATGAAGAAGACCCCAAAGGCAATTGCAGCAACAATAAAAATAAATAAATGGGACTTGATCACATTAAAAAACTTCTGCACAGCCAAGGAAACTATCATGTGAGCAAATAGACAACCTACAGAATGGGAGAAAATATTCACATGCTACACATCTGATAAGGGGATGATACCTAGAATCTATATAGAACTCAGGAAAATCAACAAGAAAAAAATCAAACAACCCCGTTGAAAAGTGGGCAAAGTACATGAACAGAAACTTTTCAAAAGAAGACATACTAATGGCCAGCAAACATGAAAAATGCTCAATATCTCTAATCATCAAGGAAATGCAAATCAAAACCACAATGAGATATCACTTAACTCCAGTGAGAATGGCTTTTATCAAAAAGGCCCAAAACGACAAATGTTGGCATGGATGTAGAGAGATAGGTACACTCACACATACACTACTGGTGGGACTGCAAACTAGTTCAACCTCTGTGGAAAATAATATGGAGGTACCTCAAAGAGCTACAAGTAGAACTACCATTTGATCCAGCAATCCCATTACTGAGCTGGGCAAAGGCAATATATGTAACCCAAATATTTGTACCCCTGTAATATTCTGAAATTAAAAAAAAAAAAAGAAAGTCTTCCCCAAAGATCTGTGTGAGCTGAGTGTCAAAGCAAGAGTAGGTTTAGGTGCAGATGGAGGGAGCTACAGCAATTCAAAGCATGGAGAAGAGGGAATGCATGGTTAGTACTTCAGCAACATGTTAAATACTCAGTATAGCTGGAGGAATAAAAATATGGAATGTGATTTACGTTTTCTGTTAAAAATAATAAGAGCAAAAACATATTGGCATAGTTCCTTAGAGGTTATAGGGTATCTTTATATATTGTATCTCTTGAATTCTTATGTAAAAACCTTAAGACGAAAGAAAGGCGAGTATTATTTTCTGTATTTTGTACAGGACATTAAATCTGATTTTAGAGACTGGCTTGCAGTCATATATGCATTATTGGGAGTGAAAATTGAACCATGATTCTTCTTGCGTTTAGCTTCTGGTGAACTCTGAGCCAAGGCAGAAGCAGAAAGTTAGGAGAGAGAACTGTCTCCTGATTTTGCTCCCATGGGTAATGGTGCTTGGCAAAATATTATTTTGTGTGTATTATCTTGGCATTGACTATGACTTTCTTGATAGTTCTCAGTTGTGTGTGAAATGGTTCTGTTAATGAGTATCATTTAAAAAATCTTACTTGATGTAAGGTTACAAATCTTGTGCCTGATACATGGTGTTCAATACTTGTTTGTTCAGTGAATGAGTGATTGAATGACTCCATAGCTATCTAAACCCTTAGCAGTGTTATTCCAGATACAGTTTTGCAGACAAAATAAAAAAAGTTTTCTTAGATTTATATACAAATGGCTTCCCTGGCAATATATTTTGAAATTTGAAATTTCAGCATTTTATTCATTTTGCATTTTCATGAGATTAATGTTTTTGGTTTTTTTTTAATAGTTTTTTTCTAGAGACAGAGTCTTTCTCATGTCCCAGGCTGGAATGCAGTGGTGCCATCATAGCTAACTGCAGCCTCAAACTACTGGGCGAAAGCGATCCTTCTGCCTCAGTCTCCAGAGTAGCTGGAACAAGAGGTGTTGCCAGCATGCTGGCTAATTTTTCTTATTTTTCATAGAGATGGGGTCTCTCTATGTTGCCCAAGCTGTTCTTGAACTCCTGGCCTCAAGCAATCCTCCCACCCTGGACTCCCAAAGTGCTGGGATTACAGGCGTGACCCACTGCACCCAGCCTCATGAGGCTAATGTTTATTAATTAATAAACTAATTCATTTATTTGGCCAAGAAATATTTAGCACAGGCCTACTATGTCCTAGGAACTGTGCCAGGTACAACATATATCATCTGATCTAATCCTTACAACAATCCCATGAAAATGTTCTATTATTTTCTGCTCTTTTCTAGAAAAAGAAACTCTAAGAGAAAAATAAAAATTTGCCCAAGGTTACAACAGCTAACAAATGGAAGAACTGGACTGTCAATCCAAGATCCGTCTACCTCCAAAGCTCAGGTGCAATTCAGTTTTAGTATAACAATTTGTTCAATTTGCATCTGTTGATTTTGTAGGATTTTGTCTAATTTGTATGCATTTCCATATGGATTATGCTAATTATTTAAATGAATATTTCCCATTCCTTAGAATATGAGATTAAAGATGAACATTATTTTTGTTTTAGTATATTATTTTCTCTTTAGCTTTTTGATATTTTATAAATTATTCATGTGTTTTCTTAGATGTCTGTATAAAACATTCATCTGTAGTATCATTCATCAGAATCTCAAAACCTAAGTTTTCAATTTTTGGTTGCTTATATTTAATTCCTTAAATATTTACTAATAGTTTGCATTTTTAGTTAGAGGTTAAAAGAATGAATGAAATTTGCTTTTCTTTAATAAGGTCATATTTTCCCCTACTAAATACAAAGATTTTTATCCAAAATAATGACTCATTCTATCATCATATTGTTACTGGGAAACACCAGTGTATTTCTGGTTTTAGCATCAATGAAAATAGTCAAACAGTATATGATCATGAGTCTCAGCATTTGAAGGTGGCAATGAAGCCTTGAAATAGGTTGAAAATGCAATCTGTGTATTTTGTTTAATAGAACTAAGACACAAACTTCCTTTAGATCAAGGCTAAATAAAGCTCTGGAATAGGGATAAAATTCAAGTATCATTTTATGTTTTACAACATTAGCTTACATTTCTGTTCTATTTCTAGAGTTTCACATTTTTAAGTGTATCAGACAAAAAGAGAGCATCTATAAATTTTGTTTTTTTCATATAACTCATGAAGTTATAAGAGTTTTCTATTTTCCATTTCTTCCTCAAATCTGATCTTCAGAGAAGTACATGGTGGCTTGACATATATCCATATAGTCATTTAGAAGAGTTCTGTGCCTACTTTTGCTGTATATACATTTCTGTTTATGATTGGAAGATGAGTAAAATTCTGCATATTTTCTATTCGGGGAACAGGCTTAATTAATGGCCCATTATATTTCCTGACCACTGGGGGAAAATATGTTCTTTTCTGTAAAGACCATGGTTCTTATGATTCACTTAGCATAGAGAGCAAAATGCATGGAAGATCTCTTGTCTCACAAGAAGAAATGGGTGGCTGGCTGTATAATGCCGGTTGCATATATTACTGAACTGTTACAGAGGAAAGGAAATTACCCAGTCAGAATAGATATGTCTCTGTAGCCTTGTATCCCCATTCTAATATCCACAGAGTTTATCTTAGTCTGAATGGAGCTCTAAGTTATTAATTGTTTTAATGATTTCATTGATTTCTGTTAATCTAGGTAATGTGCCTTACTAAACTTGGTAGTTTATTTTGCTTTTCAATTAACCTTTTACTTTTGTTATATCATTTTTTATTAAAAACAAAGGTTTTATCTACATTTTAATGATATGCCTATCTTATTATATTATGAATTATATTTGGCTATCTGTACAGCAATTTTCCTGAATACTTTAGGGTAATGGCAAACCACAATGGCTCAGTATTTTTATTACTGATTTTCATTGATATTAAATGTTTTAAAAAGACATTTGAATAAATGCTAGAATTCTTTATGTATAACTTTATGTACAATGTTTTAAAAATATTTTGAAGAACATAATAATATAAAAATGCAATGTTTTAACTTGTGCTTTAATTTCTCAAGTTTAGGAATAGCACTATCATTCTAACTTAGTAAGTTGTTTTAATTTTGTTCAATTAATAAATTAATAAATGCCAAAATATACTATAAAACCTTTGAAAATTTAAAAGTGTTTAAAATAGCATATTCCATAACAGAAGATACATGCATAAAATATTTCACTAGCTTATATAAATTATTTAATATTCAAACACATTCTGTCTAATTAAGGTCTTAATTTACTTTGAAAGATATAAAATTACCTGGATATACATAAAAATATTAGTGAAATAGTCCCACAGGATGCAAAGTGGGTTCTCTACATTTCATTTCTGGGAATTCACATTCACATATGATTTTGTACCAATTAAAAACTGTTAATGACAAAACATTGTAATTGATTAGTCTTTGTATGTTTACAGCTCACTTTAATTGCTGAAAAACGCCATTTGTCAGCTTCATGTTCTATTGACAAAGCTATTGATTTATCTGAATTTGGCTTTGTCTTGTCTCTCGTACATAAAACTCACATATGCAGTTCAAATGGGAAATGACTGTATTGATTTCCTTAACTTGAGCCCAAATGCTAAAGATTTTTGGATAAGCTTTCTCATTACTTAAGCCAAAATCAATAAGAAAGAGCATCTTTTAATGAAAGAGCAGTTTGAGCAACGTACTTCAGAAATAGGGTCCTGTTCATTCTTTGCTTTACAAATCGATCTCCTAGGTTCCTTAAGTTAGGTCCAATTGGTTGACATTGTGGTTTGTCTTTGTGTGTAAACTTGCAGCTTCAGGAAGAGATGAGCTATAGAGACAGTGGAAAGAAATGCTCTCCCTGAGAAAGAAGATCGTCCACTAGCAGGTGTAAAATCTAGTGTTGAAATGCAACACAATTTATAATTATATTAATGAATTCTTACATCCCTTATATGCTTATATATTTTATGATGGCACAATTTTTTAAATTTATTTGCTGGCTTATCTTTTTAATAACTATATGCATATCATGCATATCATGTGCATCTATACCAAACTTATTTCAATATTCGCTTTTATTTTTTTAAAAAACTTCTGCTTATTGCTGCAGCTTATGTTTGTAATGTGAGATAATTTGCTCAAACATCAGGTCATTTTAAAAATAACACTGTTTTTTTAAGTGATCTTTTATCTTTATTTTTTTAGTGGCAAATTTCTCATCTTCTGCAGAAGGCTTAGCATAGAAAGTGAGCTACGGAAATAAAATGCCTGTTCTGAGGAATAACAGAATGAACTGAACATATAAAGCAAGTTATGTGGACAGGCCAGACGTCAGGTACATATGATATCATTAACTTCTGTGAACTACATAAATTAAGCCGATTATGCCTTCACTTAATTAACTGAGAATGACCTATTGATGTATAGGCTGAGTTAGCTAGAGACTGCTTGCTGCACTGTACTTAATTTATTGGTTTTCAATTAGTTCTTCTCTTGCCTTTGATTGTTGAGGAAAAAAAAATGTCCATTTACATCTATGTCTTGAGTATTTTTTACGCATAGAGGGTTTATATTTAAAACCTTATCCTGAGTGATTGTTTTTTCTTTGCTAACAATGCTTAGGTTGATGTAAGTAGTTTTTCTCACTGTTACATATAATTTGATTTCTGGATTAAATAAATATGCAGGTTAATTTTTCTTGTTAGTGTTGTGATACTATTAAATCAACTTTACAAATAATCTCATATTCATTTCAAGAAGTATCTTACTTTCGCCAAATTTTGTAAATTGGTTTTTACCAAAATTATTGTTAGAGTATGTTTTTGTGAAGCAATCTTGGGGAAGAATGTTTTTAGGTAAATATTTAGATTTTTGAAAAATTTTCACTAGAAGCTTACTTGAGAGTTTTTTAAAAAATAGAAATACTTTAGTATAAATCACTACTCTTGATTTCTTGTGGTAAGACTAATGTGTATGAGAATACCTTCAGAAAAAATTTACCTAATTTTGAAATTTTATATACTGCTTTTAGGATGACTGTTATACTTTATTATGTTGCCCTCTGCTATGTAGCTTTTGTAATCCACTAATCAAAAGGCATTTATTGGACCATTCTTATATTCTCAGTATCTTCACATTAGAATACTTCATCAGAGGCCGGGCATGGTGGCTCATGCCTGTAATCCTACCACTTTAGGAGGCCGAGGTGGGAGGATCATTTGAGCTCAGAAGTTCTAGACCAGCCTAAGCAAGAGTGAGACACCATTTCTACTAAAAAAAAGAAAAAAAAAAAGAAAAAAAAAGAGAGAGAAAAGAAAAAGAGAAAAAAGAATACTTTATCAGAGACTGGTAGTCTGATTTTAGTTATTATAATTACTTTAAGTTATCTACTATTGTTATTATAAAGGTCATTAAACATGAAATGTCTGATTTCAAATAAAAAATGTAGGTTATTGTACCTCAAACTGGAAGCAGTACACTTAACCAAAGTATGCACCTAAACTATCAACACAGTTTGCTATCTTAGCAGTAGCTTGTTTATGCCAACTTTTGAAGAAGCCTGGAAAGTGGGGAATGGCAATGAAATTGCAAAAGGCTTTTTCCACAGCTCGTTGAGAATTGAATATTTTTCCTTGCAAGAAGTGGTCCAAAGCCTGGAAGAAGTGGTAGTCAGTTGGTGCAAGGTCTGGTGAATATAGTGCATGACAGAGAGTTTCCAATTCCAGCCTCTGTAATTTGAGCAGCATTGTTTGTGTGACATGTGGTTGAGCATTGTCTTGCAAGAGGATTGGCCTGTCTCTATTGACCAATCTCGGCTGCTTCATTGTAAGCATCCTCATTATTTCGTCCAATTGGTTGCAGTAGACATCCGCTGAAATCAACTGACCAGGTTTCATGCTGTAGTGGTAATACCAGCGCTTGACCACCAGACAAGACACTATTAGTTTTTCTTGATGAATATTTGGTATTGGGATGGTGGGCTAGATCACCATCATTTCTTATAGTTGAGTGATATTCCCTTATAAAATATACCAAATTTTATTAATCCACTCATGGATTGACAGGTACTCAACAAGAAAAAAATCAAACAATCCCATCAGTAAATGGGCAAAGGATATGAACAGAAACTTTTCAAAAGACAGAATAATGGCCAGCAAACACATAAAAAATGTTCAACATCTCTGATCATTAGAGAAATGGAAATCAGCTACAATGAGATATCACCTAACCCCAGTGAAATTAGCCTTTATCAGACATTTCTCTTCTGACTCTGATTTAATTCATGTGGAACACATTTATCCAGCTTCTTTACTTTGAGGATTTATTTAACATGGCCCAATATTGTTGGAATAGTAATGTCAAAGCATAGGATGAGATGGATCCACTTCCACTATAGCTCTCAGCTCACCATTACCCACTTTGGTTTCAGATCACCCAGGTGGTTCATTTTCAAGATTAAAATCACCAGAATAGAACTTCTCAAACCATTGATGTACTGTGCAATCATTAGCCACATCCTTCCCAAACACTTCCTTGATATTTCAAGTTGTCTGTGCTGCATTATTTCTAGTACAAAACTCATATTCGATAATAACACGAATTTTTGACTTACCCATGGTTCACAAAAATTGCTCTAAACATTTTTTTGAAAGATAATCACAAGTGAAAATGTATGTTTGAAGGACTGAAGATGTACTTTCACCACAAAATTAAAACAAGAAGTGTCGAAGTGAAATGTCAGTAATATCACCTGTCAAACTTAGTCCTTAAGGAAATCGGAAATTTTGTACTTAGTAAACTAATAATAGGATCATTCAAAATTTGCAAGTAAACAAAATATAAAGAACGTATGTCACCTGGTTTTGATAAATTGTTTTATCTTTCTCAATCTGAGGTTGTCATCTGAGAATGAAGTTAATAGTGAGACTTGCATGCAGGACTCCATTGAGGTATTTGCCAACTCTCATATATTTGTGGTGCAAATATTACTTGTTTGCACTTCAGGAGAGATAAATATTTCTGTGGATTGGAGTTGTCAGAAATGGATTAAAGATTTAATTGCTCCTATAAGACATATGTGAGTAATGTTATAGTTGATAATCCATGTTAAAATTTTATGCAGAATTTAATTAATACTGTAGGAGCTAGTGGGCATATGAGCATTTAGCATTCTCATTATTTATGAACAACCCTGAAAGCCCATAAATAGTTGTAGTGATATGTATATCAACAAATTTGAGTCATATACCTTATGAACATATCCTAGCATTGGGAGAGTAATTTAGAAGCTGTGTTCAAAAGAGGCATTGTTGTTTTACACACATTTTTATATTCACAGCAATTCTCATTGAACATTTGAGTGGCCTACTTAAACTTTCAGCCATATTCTCCTGAATTTTATGAGGGAAATTATATGCTATTGGAGAATTTGTGAATTAAGGGGTACATGAAGAACTTGAAATGTCCTTTTGAAATACCTAATATGTTTTTGGGAGATAGTATCAGAATCTCACTTTTAGTTTTGTAATGTATTGGATATCTGTTAGACCAAAGTGGAAATGTTACACATGGTCTTCTGTGTGTGTGTGTGTGTGTGTATGTGTGTGTGTGTGTGTGTGTGTGTGTGTGTGTGTGTACATAGGACTGAAGAGTTCAGGGAAAAGTTTTGGATCGGATACTGGAAATTACCAGCATATGGAATTTGGTAATTTGGAAATTACCAGCATATGAATTGTGTTAAAGGAAAAAGAAGGGATGAGATGACCAAGAAGTGAATGTTGAGAGAAAAGAGAAGAGAATCATGGAAGAAGTTTTGTTGGCATCCCATTAAGAGGTCAAGGATATGAAGAACTCAGAAAGGAATGGAACAGACAATGAGGACAGAGAAAATCTAGGACAGTTGGGAGTTTTGGAAGCCAAGTGAAGAAAGTGCTTCAAGGAGAGAGGAGCTATCACCTGTGTTTAATGCTGTAAGGTGAGAACTAAAAATTGATCATTAAACTTAGCCATGTGGAGGACATTGACAATCTTGACAGAAGCAGTTTTAGTGTATTGGTAAGTGCATGTTTATTCTGATTGTGATAATCAGCATAGAAGAAAAAATAATATTAGACAAAAATCTTCATGAATTTAGGGTCTTTCACTTTTAAAATATGTATGTAAAATGTCTGACAGGAGTCTAGATTTGTTAAAACTTGCTTGAGACTATAGTCTATTGAATGTATTATTTTCTTCATTTTTCATACATGCTTTAAAAGTTCACATTTTTATTACTCTTCTGTCTAGAATAATTATTTAGAATGTGTGACTAAAGTGATGTTATAGCTGTTGTTTTTCTCAAGTAAGAACACATCATAGTGCTTATAATCTTTTGTAAAACTTCAACTAAAATTTTAAAAGTGAAGTAAACTTAGAATTTAAAATCTCTCACAATTTTTTTTCTGGTAAATTTTCATATTGCATCTAATCAGAAGAAATTCACTACGGGCATTTGTGAAGTTTCTAAGTTTTCTCCATTTTAAAAAGAATGTTTGTCCAGAGACATGTTTTTATTAAAGTTATCATTTACTCTATAGATATTCATGAAAGTTCTTCTGTAAACATGAAAAATTATAATATGATCTATCAAAAGGAAAAAATTTTGACATTTTACCATAATTTAGTGATTAAATTTCAATATGCTATAGTTCTAATGTGGTAAAGGGCCTTAAAAGTCATTTAATTGAATCTTTTTATTTTATAAACCAAAAAAAGTGAGGTCAGATGTGAAAAGCTCCCCTGCTTTAGAGGAAATCTTTAAATATGTTGATTAATATTACACCATTATATTAAAGTGAATATTGTTAGGGCACGTAACTTTTCCAAGTATTTGAATGTATACGGTATATACATAATTATAAAGTTCATAGGCTTTTAGGAAAACACAATAATGTGTACTGAAGAAAATATTATGGTATAAGCATTGAAATTTAGACAAACTTGTACCTTCATTTCTCTTAGTCTTAGAAAATTTATTCTAATGCTCTTAAACATATTTTAAGCCCAGTTTTAAGCCCAGTGAGATTTTTTTTTTTTTTTTGGATATTCTCATTGCTAGCAACCACATTCATTAGTTCATTCTGTTCATTATGAGAGAATAATCTTATTATTTATTTATTAAAGAAGCTGATATTTATACTTTCTATTCCGTCTAACATTATTTAAGTGGAAACATTTTTCTGAAGGTTCTAAGGTTCTTGATATTTTTCCTTACATTGAAGGTTTCATTAGACACATCTCTTTGGGTTAGCATCCCTTTACTATGGAGTATGGGCATCCTCCCCCAGGAACAACCGATCCAGCTTAGCAAACAGAATAATTGGTACCATTCTTTTCACACACACAAAAGTAAGTTAAAACAGGATAGAGCTTTTATCATCAATTGATTCTTAGAAGTCCTTTCTTGATATTTCAGCCCCAAGGCTTATATCAAAGTTGTTTCCTTCAATGTGGAAACTTCAAGCTTCCAATTCACCAGTCTGCAAACCCTGAGCATCAAAGCAGACCTGCCCTGTGATCCACGGCTAAGCACTTACTTTCTTGAAGTGATGCTTAGTGCTCTGATTCAGCATCGAGATCTAAGCGTGCTGTTATGAGAAGATAAATTAGGGAACCAGACGATTACACCTTTTGGCCTCCACTGAGATTTTCCTGAGCAGGAGCACTTGTCTCCAATTCCTCTTTGACCTTTCATTGTTTCCATATGGCGGCCACTTCTCAGGATTCTCACTTGACTAACACACCGTTCCCCAGAGACTGGCGGGTATATAGAGCCTGATTGCTCGATAGGGTAGTTGTTGAGAGTTCACGTAAACCAAAGGGTCTATACAACCGCATATTATCTGCTTTTTAGCTACCATTTTATTTAATCCCAGAACCTATGCTTCTTCTGCTATAGTGACCATTAAAATCTTTATTTCCTTATCTTTAAAAATCCTACCATAGTTTCTCATTTCAATCTATCAGGCTGGTGGTTTTATAGTTTCTTCTCTTTACTTAGGGAGATTATGACTTTAAAATCATCATCATCACCATCACCCTTATTCTTATCCAATTGAGATTTAAACAAGAGGAAAATTAGATAATGTGTAACTTATTAATAGTGCCTTTGATCAAGTTTTCATCATTTTATCCAACTTTTCTCATGTGTCATTTTTCTGTGTGTGTGTGTGTGTGTATGTGTGTGTGTGCTGATGAGGTTTAGGACACACTACCTCAAACTATGGCACCTTGGCATTTGAGAAAAGAGCAGATGCATGAAAGCCACTCTCATCTTTTTCTTGCCTTTCTCCCCGGAGCCAGGTCCTAAAACCTTCATTTGAGAGGTACCCTCCCTATACCCAGAGGAAAGGAATATCTTTATTTCTGAAGACACAAAGAATCTCAACAAACAGATTGCTAAATCCCCCCCAGTTTATTGTCTTTAGATCATATCCCCTTTGTCCAATTATACTTTTCCGTGACTACTTCATCTAAACTAGCATTAAAAATACATAGATTTACTTGTTTCTTTGGGTCTTCATTTCCTTATGAAGTTTCCTCTGTCACATAAAGCTTGTATGAAATAAACTTGTATGCTTTTCTCTTATTAACCTGCCTTGCACTGGGTAAGGAAAAGAAATTTTGACTCATACAGTGCTCATCTACCACTATGTCATATGTAGTAGATGCTCAGTAAGTCACTTCATTTTTTTTTTTTGCCACAAATTATTCAAAACAGACTCATGATAAGGTGGAAATGTTCAATCTTTATTGTTAAAGGTGTTGATTAATACCAATGAGGGTGTAGAAGGGAGACCATTCCTCAGCCACTTTTCCAGCTGAACTTTTAGTCATGTCAGATACCCTGCTAAGTGTCTCAAATTCCTTTTTTTATTATTAATATTTCTCCCATCACTTAATTCAGTACTTGAGCACCTCTCTCTTGTACTTCAGCTCTCCCTCTGCCAACTGGTATCACCTTCTATTCACCCTCCTTCTCCTAGATTGGCCTTAAACATGTACACATATGTACACACAGAATTTGATCATGTTACTCTTCCACCTAAAATTCTTTTATATTCTCAATTATCAATTAAATTTCTTTCAAACCAGGAGGGGGGAAAGAGAAGCTAGCCAAAGTCATATATTGAGCCTCTCATTCCCAATCAACTCTTAACAATTCTGCTTTGTGTATTTTATGTATTAGGTCCAGCTTAAATTGTATTTGAAGAAAAAGTGTTAGTCAACAATTGTAGAAATAATGCTATGCAACTAACATCTTCCAAATGTCAGTGTCTTATAGTGACAAACATTTCCTTTCTTGTTCACAGGCCTTTGGATTGGCTGAGGTGATTTTGCAACAGGTACTTCAGGTTTTCATCACATCTTTTTGCATGAGTGGCTTTTTGTGGCTTATTCTCTGATGAAGCATGCAGATGCTCCAGAGATAGGTCAAATAACACAAGCACATTTCAAAGTTATCTCATATCCTACCCGTTCAAATGACATTGGCCCATGATATGTTGGTAGTTTGATGTTGACTGTGGTAGGAGTATTTACACCATAGAAATTGGCAAACACTTTAAACATGAATTTGTTTTCCAGGAAGCTGTCTTACTGGTATACCACAGATAAGCCTTGCTCTTTTGTGTGAAATTTTTTACCTTTCTTATGATTCTCAAATTTGTAAGTTCTATGTAAATATTATTTCATCTAATTTGTGGTGTTTTATATTTTATCAAATCACATATTCTATTATTTTCTACCTAAGCTAAGTACATGACTTAGGATGTTTTTTTCTTTTGTTAATTCCCAAATTCTTTTTTTCCTCCACAATTCTGGTCATATATTTATAAAGATTCTGATATAATAGCATATATTTCAAAATGAGGAGCTGGCTTATTATTATAAATGTTATATTTTATTA